GATTTTATTTTCCATCTGAAATCGACGAGTAGGATACTATGCCTTCTTGGTAGTCACGACCTATACGTTCTATTATTCTATCTTTCATTTTTCAAGAACTGCAAAAAAACCAAAAGAATGTTGTGTGAGTAGAAGTACTTCTCGAAAATCAAAGAGACCAATCTAAGACGGAATGCACTGCGGCCCTCATCGGTAATAAACACTTACGCATGGGTTTCGAGTGTTCACCAACAAAGTTGGGCACTAAGCATGCGAAATTTTATAACTGTTTTTTTCGCTTGAATATGATGATGCTCTTCCCTCTGAATTTTATTTGCCTAATTGTTCAGATACAGTACGTGGTTTAACACATTCCAGACTGCATGACACACATGGAGTGTCATACATTTACCCCTACCACATTCTACATGGTCAATTTTGCATCTATTTCTAAAATTATCAAAGCACGCTTTCAGACGAGGAATACACGAACATCACTCGAAAGTGGAAATCGGGTAAAATTACTTCCCATGAAGTCAAAAATGGCGAAATGAGGCGGAGATCCTTGCGGAACTGCTATCCGCAATGCATTTAGTATACTATAGGAGCCTTTCGTCTTGGAAACCAGGCTGAACTCTGGTAAAACTGCTATGAAAGCTGGTAGAGATGACCGTGAGTGTAGGGAAGGTACACTATCGCCCACGGATGCTATATTTGACAACAAATGGGCTCACCTAAATGGCTTGAGTACAAACAACTGTTTTCATAGGCAAGTATTGTATGCGAAACGACTCCGCTTAGGCACCGAGTTGCTCAACGCCAATAACACATGTTGGTAATCAAATAAGTTGATGTTCGCGGCCAGCACAGCAAATAATGGCCACCGCTTTAAAAAGAAGCCCAAAAAGGTTGCACGACACCTCACTTATACACTCATCACCTTCATCACAATACAGAAATGATCGCCCACCTAGTCATTCTCTTCGCGATCTCACTTCTAGCATCATCACAGCGAGCAGGTGTGAACTTCATAATTCAAAGTCCTTCTCAGACCTTTCTAAAGCCTTAATACCTTTTTTCTAAGCATGCAACGTTTCAGACATACTCTCCCGTGCCGTTGGGCCATGTATAGGTGGAAGGTGTCAGGCTGGCCACACCTGCTACTTTGACCAATGTGTTCCACAAGGATCACGATTCCGAAGAGCGCCCAACAGAGGTGAGGAACAGTAGAGTCGTGACCGCTGGTTGAAAAAATCTCCCTCCGTTTAGTATCTTTTCAATAATATAATTGAACATCGGGGACAACCGGACGTCACACGGGGTCTGCGGTAGTTTATACTTCATAATAGCAACAAGCACAGTAAATTTGAAGAGTGGCCCTGATAAGTCAAGCTTAGCTTAACTCTTTTGGAGACTAAGCGAACACTGCATTAGCAGAGCGCGATAGTACTCTGATTTCACGAAGCACTTTTGGGTTCGCCATGAACTTGTTTTCGCTCAGGAATGCAGTATCACCCGGATGCATGCACAGCTTGTACCCCTGCGCAGCTTAAGGGCTGCTAGAGTAGAGGCAGTTCCACATTCCTGGATCAGCAAGGTAATGTGAGGAGGCAAGGGTATGGAAAACGCGGATGTGCCGCATCCACGGGGACTCCTCTAGCTGCCGTGCCTCGCCATCATCCCAAGTACTTTTGATGAAACATTTTTGAAAATTCATTCATCCAAAACCAAATACATGAATTTATTTCGCAGTTTCCCTTGGCATATATGCGACTTCTTGAAATCCTAGTGATTTCTTTGTTCCAGGTACCGCAGTCGGACCATGCATCGATAACAGGTGCCCGCCCGGCATACTTGTTTTGCATGGATCAAATCAGACATGTTTGAAAGGCGATAGATACCTTCTCCTTCAGCAGGGTCAGGGAATCCGAAGATCAACCACATGGGGTGGTCGGAAGAATAATCATTTTTTTCATTGATAATTTTTATGTTAAGGAGCAATTATAATAACAATAAAATTTGCTCGAATTCGATGTAATGCAATGCGATGCAATTGTAAGTCGATTACTTACTTGAAATCTCTCACGAGTTAATGTTCCTTATCATGGAGCAGGAGTCCACCTGTGCAGCACCTCATTACCACTCGCGTAGCCATCAAGCAAAAGTGCAGCAAGATTCGTATTCGCCAGTATTAGATTTGTTGCTTCTGCTTCGTTTGGATAGTGCTGCTCGTAACAGTCTTTCAAGAGAGTTTTGAACGCTCATCTGTAGGACACTTCCGCGTCCCAAATCAGTAGTACGTTAGGACCTACCATTGGTTCTGCAGTCTTCTCCAACAAGAAGCTGATTACTGTAGTCTAATCCTACAGTCTCATCAGTGCGAGACTGGTCGGGGGGCGGGTGCGTGCTGATAGAGGCAGCGGGCTTCGGCTGCGTCACTGTCTTGACGGCGAACAAGTGGCATGGGCGTGGCTCTGGCGACTGACAGCTGATTTCGTGCATGGGAATGTTGGCTGGCCTGAATGCGCCATACTGGTTTTTCTAGCTCGTTCAAGCGCTTCGAGAGGAGTGGAAGGTAGAGTATGTATTTGAAGCCAATTTCAGGTTGTACGTGGGCTTGCTGAAGATGAATCTGAAAGAATGCACAAGCCATTTGAATAATGAGTATAGAGGTGATTATGCAGTTTTTCCGTGTTGGTAGTTATGTCACTACCTATAAATAGGTGGCTGAAATACAGACGAAGATGAACATATTAATGAGACGAATGAAAAGGATAAAGGCAAATTAGAGCCAGCACAACTTAGAGAAACATTATTGTTTTCAGAGATTATGTCCTAGCCGAATCTCCCAATGTGTGTCACGAAAGGGCTTGAGAGAGCTGAAGAAAGGTGGGAATTTCGCAGATCCGAGGATTTGGCCGAGTTCTGAAAAATTAAGCTGATCTTCCGTCACCCCAGCCGCAGCCGCTTTCGCGCCTGTCGCAACGCGGCTCAGCCGCCCCGACAGTCCACAATGATGAGGACTGTACAACTGACTAAGATGATAGAACTTGAATAAACTTCCCCATTTAACATAGTCACCATCTTAAATGCATTCAACATTTTTAACCCATAAATTCCTCTACATTTAGTACGCGGTATGCAGCACATAGATGAGCTCTCATGAAGGTTGTGTTAACATAGAATTCGTAATATTTATTCATACAATAACTGGCAACAAAACGCTTTGACTAAGTATACTCGGATGGTTTTAAGGTAACTCTCGGAGGCAAAAGAAAAAACTCCAGGTGTTCTGAACAAGGACGTCTTAGACTCAGTTTCAGATGAGTCTGTCCCTTCCGATCAGCACCTGATTGCTTTCGGAGCGAGCCTGAAAGCCATGCAATTAGGATCGAGCAGTACGAAAAAGAACCAAAAAATGAAGTGTTTGCCATAGTGACCGAAAGTGAAAAATAAAGTTAAGAAAATGTAAAATGAAATAAGTTTTGAAAGTGCAATTAGTTACAGAACTAGCAATCTCGAGTCTGCCACCCAAACTCCCCTTCGCAGTGTGTGCAAATACAATTCTTATCAGCAATTTACGTTGTTGGGGGGGGGGCAAGAGCGCTACTTTACAAACTCGACTACGTGCTTCCTACGCTTTTCTTTTTCGCGAACACTCCCTGAGCATCACCTCAACAAACCCCGCGATTGCATATTGCAGGCTGGCGTTCAGTAACAGACCTATAGTCGCTATGTGATTCTCCAAGGATGAAAACAGCAAAAAGTATCACAATGAACAACCTAGGGACCCCCTGGCGGCCTTAGTGGACGAGTTCTCCGGAACTGCTCTTTTTGAGCCAGCAGGGCGACATCTTGCCGCCTTTGGCTCACTAATCATTTCTTCGCGTCATCCAATCCTAATACCATAGAACGGTGAAAAAACCCAACCACGGAGTAAAAACTGGAGTTGTGAGTGAAAACAGCTACGGAAATTCGGTGGGCGGGGCAACTAGGAAGGCGTCAGAAATGCCACTTATGAGAGCCGCTATGCCTTCGTTACTTCCTAATGAAGCGCGAAAGTGAATAATCCGAGAGAATGAGGGTCAGACTAATTGTCAGAAGGGAGGACGCCTACAAACTGCTCGAGTACGGGGACTGTTTTTGAACGGATCCTATCTCTTGCTTTCGCAATACGCGCCGATCCGGGTCATCGTGAAAACTGTGCTCAGGGTAATGACGGAAAATGGATAGGGTACCGTTTCTACCTCAGCGGTACTCGTTAGCTTTCTATAATGGGAAACTCGTTAGCTTTCTATAATGGGAAACAGATAAGCCTTT